TTTCTTTCAAACACACAAATTATTGTATTAAATTGAATACCCAAAAATGTTATAATTTCTAATTGGTGGTATAACTAAGTAAAGATTGGCAAATGTGGATTAAAATGCAACAACAAAGGGAAATAATTGCAAAAGTTAAACATAATAAAGACAATAGGCGCGGGATTTAAAAAAATGTTTCAAGTATTATAGGAGCGGATTTTTTTAAATATTTTTTCAAGGCCTAACACCAATGAAGGCCAATGAAGACCCATATTGCTTTTGGAAAAGATCGGTTAATATTTAGGGGATGAAATGGACCAAAAACTTTATTTTTGTCGGATTTTCTGGTCACTCCAGAGGCCACAATTATGACCCAAAAACCGCGAATTTTTGCACGGAGAAGGGGATCGGGCCAAAGAATAAGTATGCCTGTTTTTATAAAGATCGGCCAATATTTAGCGGGTCAAATGGACCCTGACTTTTGTGTGAAAAATTAAAAAAAAATTGTATTCTATGGGGTATATATTTGCACCTGAAGGTCCTAGACCGGAGTTGATAGTATGTTCAAGAGGAGTGGTTGGCCTTCAAATTGATACCAATTACATTGTCGTATGCACTCAGATGTGGGAATTACACGTAAATATTTACAGGTGCTTACGTATTCAGATATTATTTAATAAACCATTACCACACTAGAGGGCGGAAATATAGCGCTGATCGCTTTGAAATATTCCATGAGGTTGCAGTTATGGCCAAGGACAATTCCTATAATTGTCGGTGATGGTCAGATAATAATTTTGGCATGAAGTGGACCGAAAACTTATTTTTTGTGTTTTTTTTTTTTTTTTTTGATTCGATCTTTAGGCTACAATTATAAGCCGAACATCACAACACAACCACGGTGAAGGGAGTACGGACAAGTAATTACAAGGGATGTACTGAATATCGGTAATATTCGGAAAATATTTCAGTGTTAGGAAGAGGTGTTTTTGACCTATAATCGGGCAAGAGGGTGCAACTATCACGAAATTTTTTAGGCTCGGAATAAAAATCCGCAGAAAGATAGAGATGATAGTTGTGTAGGGTATCGTATGGTCGGTCCCGTCCGACTATACTGCTCCGCTCACTTTGTGCATATGTTTGTAACAGGCAAAAGGAAACGAGATAGACACATGGTTCCTTTTGAGAATATGCATAGAATCACTTTTAGAGTCGATTTATGCATGTCCGTCCGTCCGTCTGTAGATGTTAAATTGTAACCAAAGTACAGGTGGCATTTATGATCCGATTTGGGTGAAATTTGGCACAGCTCACTTATTTGGCCTAAGGACGAACCCTATTGAAGTTGGGAAAAATCGATTCAGATCTAGATATAGCTCCCATATATATATATATATATATATTTTGTCCGATTTAATGTATTTGGTGCACCAAACTCCCTATATATCTTTCGATTTGCACAAAATTTGGCACAAAGTAATGAATTAGGTCGAGAATGATGAGTTTTTTGTTTCCTATAAATCGGCTCAGATTTAGATATAGCTCCCATATATATTTTCGTCCGATTTAATGTAAATGGTGTACCAAAGTGCCTATATATCTTTCGATTTGCACGAAATTTGCACAGCGTAACTAATAAGGTCATGAATGATGTGTGCATAGTTTCGCGAAAATCGGTTCATATTTCGGTTCATATGTTCGGATTAAGATATAGCTCCCGATTTAATGTATTTGTTGCACCAAACTCCCTATATATCTTTCAATTTGCATGAAATTTTGCACAGCGTAATGAATTAGGTCTAGAATGATGTGTTTTAAGTTTCCTGAAAATCGGTTCAGATTTAGATATAGCTCCCATATATATTTTCGTCCGATTTTGGGTAAATGGTGCACCAAAGTCCCTATATAACTTTCGATTTGCACGGAATTTGGCATATGGTACTAAAGTAAGTATTTAACAATGTGTGTTAAATTTAGTAAAAATCGGTTCAGATTTAGATATAGCTCCCATATATATTTTCGACCGATTTAATGTAAATGGTGCACCAAAGTCCCTACATATCTCTCGATTTGCACGAAATTTGGCATAGCATACTGCATTGAGTATGCAATGATTTGTGATAAGTTTCGTAAAAATCGGTTCAGATTTAGATATAGCTCCCATATATATTTTCGTCCGATTTTATGTAAATGGCGCACCAAAGTCTTTATATATCCTTCTATTTGACAGAATTTGGCATAGCGTACAGAATTAAGTCTGAAACGATGAAATTCATGAAAATAGGTCACTTATTTGGCCCAAGGACGAACCCTATTGAAATTGGGAAAAATCGGTTCAGATTTCGATATTGCTCCCATATATATTTTCGTCCGATTTTATGTAAATGGTGCACCAAAGTTCTTGGATTTGGACAAAATTTGGCATAGCTATATATCCTATATATCCTTCGATTTACACGAAATATGGCACAGCGTGCTTAATTAAGCCTAGAATGATGTGTGCTAAGTTTTGTTAAAATCGGTTCAGATTTCGATATAGCTCCCACATATACATATATATTCGTCCGATTTTACATAAATGGCGATTATGGTTCTAAATATTGCTCCTAGACCCAATGTTTCTGTGAACCAAATTTGTTTTAAAAAAAATGTTGATTCATCTAATTATTTCTTCCAAAATTAGATCAAGTTAGAACATGGGGAATATCGGTCCACTCCTTCTGCTTATAGTTTATATATATGAATATATATAAGGTTAATTATTGAACCTTATGTTTTAGTTTTTTCGTATCTTCCGCAGATGAAAAAATTACAACAGAGTCTTAGAACCAAACACAAACACGGAACAAATCATATAACTATTTTAATACAAAAATGAGGTTATATGGGGACGACCCAAAAAGGAGGAGGATATATTAATAATTTTGGGTAGGAAGATTTGTTACCATATACGAATACAAAATACCAAATTGCAGAGAATTCGATTGAAAAACGCGCTCAAGAATCTCAAAGTATCGAAAATTGGGGGTATCCTTATATGGGGGCTACCCGAAAAAATAGACCTATATTCATAATTTTTTGTGGAGCGATTTGGTACTAAATACTAAATTACTGTCAATTTGGTGGAAAAATACGATCGAAAACCTCAAATTTCCGAAAATTAGGAGGTGGGGGCTACCAGAAAAATTGGACCTATATTTATAATTTTTAGTGGAGACATTTAGTACCCATTAAGAACCCAATGTACCGAATTTCAGCGAATTTGGTTGAAAAACGCGCTCAAGAACCCCAAAAAACCGAAAATTTGGGGGTATTGTTATATGAGCTATGCCTAAATATGGACCGATATATCCCATCTTCGAACTGGACCTGCAGGCAAACCTACGCAAAATTTCAGCACCCTATCTCAAATCCTTCAGAAGATAGCGTGATTACAACATGAGTTACAAATGGAATGACAAAATTAATATACCCTCCATACTATGGTCCGACTTTACTACTTTCCTTACTGGTTAAAATCCGACTTTACTACTTTCCTTACTGGTTTAAAAATTTGTCAAGGCCTTTCCTTTCATTATCAATTGCATCATATATTGCGAGTGAAAAATCTGACCATATAAATCAAGTCATAGTCAATTTCCTTAATGTCAATATAAATACAACGTGTAACCCGGATGAAGGTGATTTAGTTGAATGTAACAACGACAACAACAACAAAAAACCACAACAAACATCAAATCGGGTTTTTTGAAAATGTTGTTAGGCCAGCCAACCAATGCTAAGAGCAATTGTTACGACAGAAGCTATTATGTCAGGAATAAGGTGCAAAATGCACACACATACACTGATATATTTATGTAAATATGTGTGGTAATAAAATATGCACAGAATTACAAGATAGAACTATAAATGTGCAGGAATTTTACGTAAAAAATTATTAAAGTTTAATATTGAAAATGGAATTTCCAAATGTGTATCAAGCTCAATAGATAGGAAATTCCAAAAATTAATGGCATGCATACTATACCCACACTACACCCTGGCAGAAGGGGAGAAAATTAATTTATATTTCTTTCCACATTCAATACGCAGACCTGTCATCGGTTGACTAGGATTCAACATACCAACATGGGCACATGCAGGAGATGCTCCTAAGATTCTTATTAAAGAAAACTTGGGTGTTTGGTGCTCAAATTGTATACACGTCATTCTAGACTCAATGCGATATTCAATGCAAATTTTCGTCTCGATCGAACAACTTACATTTTATTAAAATCTTCGCTTCCAATATTCACTCAGTTTTTTATTTAATATTAAACATTTGTATTTAAATCACTTTCAAATGTCGGCTCCCTGGCTATATTTTCATTCACACCTGTCTCGCCTTTAATATTTTTGGCAAATATCTTTTCACCAGACCTCTTCAATAATTCTTATACAAACAAAATAAAGCATTTTTCATTTAATTAATGGTTATCAATTTTTATGTGTAAGCCAGAGTAAACAGAGTGGAAGCCAAAAAGGAAACGCATCGCCAGACTTATAGACAGTTCAAAAGTAAATAAATACCGATTGTAAACAAACCCCACCAAAATATCAATGCAAAGCTTTTTTCGGGGAGCAACAATTTCTCTGTATCTGTCTGAAGATTATATTTTGGGGCGATGGTAAGAGGTAGCGAAAAAAAATTATAGACCTGGACATCATGTGAGCAAATAACCAAAACGAACCGAACAACAATGACAATATCCAAAAATATTAACAACTGCGGCATGGTCAAGGACCATGAACACCCTTCCCCTGATCCCTCCATGGCCAGTACTACGAAATCAGCAACCCAACATTGCAATTGAAAATGAAAAATTAATGTTTGTTTTTGTACTTCCCTCTCTCTCTCGCCAACTCTTTGTATGAATTTTTGCTTGTTTGTTTACTTTGTTGTCTATCTATGTATGTATGTATAAATGTTTCAATTTCCGTTTGTTTTTCATCTTCTTCTACTTCTATGCTATTTACAGCCATACCCGTTGGCAATTGGACACCACCGGACATCGATTATAATGAACGTTTCACCTGGGAGGGTGCCACCGATATGAGTACCAATTATCGTGAGGCACTGAAGCGTGGCCTACCGTATCCCATCTTAACCGTTGCCGAATATTTCAGTCTCGGCCGTGAAGGCTTCTCATGGGGTGGCCAGTATCGTGCTGCCGGCTATTTTGCCAGCATTTTACTGTGGGCCTCCCTGGCCTCGTGGCTGATGATGAATTTGCTGCTTATCGCTGTGCCACGTTACGGTGCATATATGAAGGCCCTGACCGGTGCACTTTTGATATGCACCAATATTGGCTATTATTGTCAATTGCCAAAACGGCCATTGACCATATATATGGAGGGTGGCCGATTGGAATTTCATTTGGGCTGGTGTTATTGGTTGCTATTGGTAGCAGGTAAGTGAAGGAAAATATGTATTCATGTTGTAGTAGTAGTAGTTTGGTTAGTTTTCAGGATGCTGGTAAGTAAAGTATAAATGTTTATGGAAAAATAGTCGGCAAAGGACAGCGGATGCAGATAAGAAGAGGATTTTTGTGAAGACTGTGGATAGGATTTCGCGTGCAAAGGAAATCAGAAGAACTAAAATACCAAAAATTAAACCTACGATTTCAATATGTATGTTGAAAAAATATTTTTTAAAAAATCTACGCCTTCCAAAAAAAAAAAATTTTAAAAAATCTACGCCTTCCAAAAAATTTTTTTTTTAAAAAATCTACGCCTTCCAAAAAAATTTTTTTTTAAAAAATCTACGCCTTCCAAAAAATTTTTTTTAAAAATCTACGCCTTCCAATTTTTTTTTTAATCTACGACTTTAAAATTTTTTTTTTAAATTCTAACCCTTCCAAATTTTTTTTTTTAAATTCTAACACTTCCTAATTTTTTTTAAATCTACGACTTCCAAAAATATTTTTTTTAAAAAATCTACGACTTCCAAAAATATTTTTTTAAAAAATCTACGGCTTCAAAAATTATTTTTTAAAAAATCTACGGCTTAAAAATCATTTTTTTTATTAAAATCTACGCCTTCAAAAAATATATTTTTTTAAAATCTATGCTTTAAAAATATTTTTTTAAAAAATCTACGCCTTCAAAATTTTTTTTTTTAAAAATCTACGCCTTCAAAAATTTTTTTTTAAAAATCTATGCTTTAAAAATATGTTTTAAAAAATCTACGCCTTCAAAAAATATTTTTTTTTAAAAATCTACGCCTTCAAAAAATATTTTTTTTTTAAAATCTACACCTTCAAAAAATATTTTTTTAAAAATCTACGCCTTCAAAAAATATTTTTTTTTTTTTAAATCTACGCCTTCAAAAAATATTTTTTTAAAAATCTATGCTTTAAAAATATTTTTTAAATCTACGCCTTCAAAAAATATTTTTTTTAAATCTATGCTTTAAAAATATTTTTTTAAAAAATCTATGCTTTAAAAATATTTTTTAAAAAATCTATGCTTTAAAAATATTTTTTAAAAAATCTATTCTTTAAAAATATTTTTTAAAAAATCAACGCCTTCAAAAAATCTACGCCTTCAAAAATATTTTTTTAAAAATCTACGCCTTCAAAAAATATTTTTAAAAAATCTACGCCTTCAAAAAATATTTTTAAAAAATCTACGCCTTCAAAAAATATTTTTAAAAAATCTACGCCTTCAAAAAATATTTTTAAAAAATCTACGCCTTCAAAAAATACTTTTAAAAAATCTACGCCTTCAAAAAATATTTTTAAAAAATCTACGCCTTCAAGAAATATTTTTAAAAAATCTACGCCTTCAAAAAATATTTTTAAAAAATCTACGCCTTCAAAAAATATTTTTAAAAAATCTACGCCTTCAAAAAATATTTTTAAAAAATCTACGCCTTCAAAAATATTTTTAAAAACTCTACGCATTAAAAAGTATTTAAAAAAATCTAGGCCTACAAAAATATTTTTAAAAAATCTACGCCTTCAAAAAAATATTTTTAAAAAATCTGCCGCTTAAAAAAATATTTTTAAAAAATCTACGCCTTCAAAAATTATTTTTAAAAAATCTACGCCTTAAAAAAATATTTTTTAAAAAATCTACGCCTTTAAAAAATATTTCTAAAAAATCTACGCCTTCAAAAAATATTTTTAAAAAATCTACGCCTTCAAAAAATATTTTTAAAAAATCTACGCCTTCAAAAAATATTTTTAAAAAATCTACGCCTTCAAAAAATATTTTTAAAAAATCTACGCCTTCAAGAAAATATTTTTAAAAAATCTAGGCCTTCAAAAAATATTTTTTTAAAAAATCTAGGCATTAAAAAATATTTTTTTAAAAAATCTAGGCCTTAAAAAAATATTTTTTTAAAAAATCTAGGCCTTCAATAATTATCTTTAAAAAATATAAGCCTTCAAAAAATGTTTTTTTAACAAAATCTAGGCCTTCAAAAAATATTTTTAAAAAACCTACGCCTTCAAAAAATATTTTTAAAAAATCTACGCCTTCAAAAATATTTTTTAAAAAATCTACGCCTTCAAAAAATATTTTTTAAAAAATCTACGCCTTAAAAAAATATTTTTTAAAAAATCTACGCCTTTAAAAATATTTCTAAAAAATCTACGCCTTCACAAAATATTTTTAAAAAATCTACACCTTCAAAAAATATTTTTTAAAAAATCTTCGCCTTCAACGCCTTGTGTTAGACCTCGAACAAATAGTTTTAAAAAATATACGCCTTAACAAATATCCACGCCTTGTGTTAGACTTCGAAAAAATAATTCCTTAAAATGTTATTTCCTTCTTCCAGGCATCCTCTGCTTTGTAGCTGGTGTTCTAATATCCATTATCGACTTGGTTTGGCCACACACCTTCTCAACCGTTCTCGAGGTATACTATGGTACACCGTATGATCGACATGTCATTCTGGAGGAATCCAGCGATGTGCGTTATCGGAAACGTACCAGTCGCAGTTTAGAAGATCCACCCGGATTAGGTTCACGTATCCTGCGACGTCTCTCATCAAAGGCACGGGATAATTCAATGCCACAGACACATCGTGGCAATACAAGTATGAATGCTATGTCATCACATATGAGTGGTGGAGCTGCAGGCAGTAGTAGTAGTGTGGGTGGTGGTGCGGGACATCATCAAGTGACACATTTGCCACATGGTCACCATTCAACGAGTAGTGGTGGTGGTGGCGGCGGAGGTGGTGTGGATAATAAAGCCTATCAAAGTGATGTGCCAAAAAGTCCATGGCGTTATCCATTCCGTAGGGCCCAACAAATACAGGCGCACCCTATGCATATGCAGCGAACAATGTCTCAAGATTCAAGTTCTTCGATAGCATCGGCAGCGGCAATGCAGCAAATATCGCCACTACATAAACATGCCTTGTCAAGAATGTTACCGTATGTATTCGAATTAATATAGAATTGTGGTTAATTGCCAATTAATAAACCCCCATTATTTTCTTCTTTTCTTTGCAGAAATCCTCCTATAAATCGCATAAGGGACCTTGAACACTGGTGACCGTACTTGAAGGCTAGCTAACTATTTTTTCCAACAGTTTTAAGAAACTTAATTGGCAAGACTCTTCAAGAAAATATTTAATTTTTATTCTTTCAATTTTCTCACTCTCCCTTCTTTTCTTTCGATTCTTTTATTCCGATTAGATAGATGACGTATCCTACAATAAATGACTATCAAACAAAAAATTTAAACGGACACAAATTACATTGTGATAAAAAATATTATTTTTAAATTGACAAATTAAAAAAAAAACATCGACAAAAATATGGACGCTTAAATAGACCGATTTTGACGAACGAAAATTAGTTGTAAGTTGACATAAATAATTTTTAAGGTTATGTTTTAAGTACAACCACGTATTATGGCAGCCATGTTTTTTTCACACACTCTCTCTAAGATAGATGATGAAAAAATACCCAGTGTTTTTTGACAATGATTTTGAGACCTTTTGAAGAAGAAAATAAAAATTAAATTTTAATATTAAATATATATAAAAAAAACATACAACCACACCCTATTTATAAGTGATGATATCATTGTGATAAACCTCCCAATTAATTTGTTTAAAAAATTTAATATTAATTTGAAATTAAATTCTAGTGTACTTGTTAGTAAAATTTAAGCAGAGAGGGGAAAATCAAAATTTTTCTAAAAAAATAAAATAAAAAATTTGAAATAAACATTTTTTTATATAAACATTAATTTTTAATAAAAAAATATTTTATACAACAAATATTTTTTTAGTTAAAATTAATTTATATATAAACTATTTTTTATTTAAAATTTTTATAACAGAAACCCTCCCCTCCCTGCTTTAGTTTTACCTTAAAAATCACTTTTCAGTGTTACCTTTAAGGTTTTATAAACAATGTATTCAATTTAATATATATATTTTAAATAATTAGATATAAACGTTTAATAGATTTTAATTAGACTCCATCTACTATAAAAAATAAATATTAAAAAAAAATAACTAAAAAACGAAAAATTGGCTACTTACAACTTAGATATGAATATACAATTTTAGTAAATTTCTTTTTCTTACATTATACAAAATTATTTATTTGTTTTATTTTTTAGTTTTTAATTTCTTTATTTAATTTATTGCATAACAATGTTTGAACAAAATAAATATGTGTAATAGTTATAAGTATGAGCGAAATGAAGCGATATTATTGTATGACCTTTCTAAAAGATATTCTTAGGCTAGAAACAAAATTCAACAAATTATGAAAACAAGAAGAAAACTAATAAAAAAAAAAATTAAAATTATTTTGAAAAATAATCTGTTTTTTATAAATGGAAATTTAAAAGGGTAATATAATATTTTATTTGAAAATAAATGATTTCGCTTGAAAATATGCAATACTTTTGAATCAATTGCAGAAGGCGAATATGTCGAATATGTTCATGGCAAAGCCAGGTGTATTCATATAACGAAGTTACGAGTTCCAAAATATTTTGTACATCCGTATTACCCAAATACATCGAATCCATATCTCTTAGGGAACTAAACAAAATCGTGGAACAAATTAAAAAAAAAAAAAATTAAATGTGTTCAAATATTGTACATTCTTTATGTTTTGTTTCTATTTTCAACTGAAATGGTTAAAACATCGAAATGGTCAAAATTTTGCTAATTTTATAATATCATCGGATAGTACCGAATTGACCCAATCTTTACATAATCTAATATTATTAGCAAACATGTATATTATTGGAAAAAGGGGACTTATCGACGACATATTACTTCTAGTACCTCCCTCACAGAGTGGTCAATATTTTAAAAATATGTTAATAATTGTATGGAATGGAATACAAAAACGGACATCGTAATATTCTTTTTATACATATATTTTGTTTTTTTTTTTATATTAATTTTTGTTTTTCCGTTTGTAACTTATCGAAATAATCATTTCCGACCATATAAAGTATATATATTCTTGATCAGCGTAAAATTGTAAGACGATCTAATATCTGTCCGTATGTTGTAATCACTCTAGCGTCTAAATGAATTGAGATAGATCGCCAAAACTTTGCACAGACTCTTTTGTCTGCAGGCAGGTCAAGTTCAATGAGGGGGTATATCGGTCTACGTTTAGGCATAGCTCCCATATAGGGGTACCCCCAATTTTCGGAATTTTGAGGTTCTTGAGCGCGTTTTTCAACAAAATTCGCTCAAATTTGGGTAATAACAAAATTCCCATTAAAAATTATATAAGGGTACCCCTCAATTTTTCCCCCGAATTGCTTGTAATTTTGTATTTTGAGTTCGTAATAGGTACCAAATCTCGCTACAAAAAATGATATATATATAGGTCCATTTCTTCTGAAGGAACTGAGATAGGGTGCTGACATTTTGCATAGGTTTGTCTTTTGTCTGCAGGCAGGTCAGGCTTGAAGATGGGATATATCGGTCCACGTTGAGGCATAGCTCCCATATAACGGTACCCCCCAATTTTCGGTATTTTGGAGTTCTTGCGCGCGGCTTTCATCCGAATTCGCTGAAATTGGGTACTAAATGTCTCCACAAAAAATAATAAATATAGGTCCACTTTTTCTGGAGACCCCCATATAACGGTACCTTTTAATTTTCAGTATTTTGGGGTTTTTGATCGTATTTTTCCACCGAATTGTCTGTAATTTAGTATTTTGAGTTCTTAATAGGTACCAAATCTCTATGCAAACAATTTATGAATATAGGTCCATTTTTTTAGATAGCCCCCGTATAAGGGTATCCCTATTTTTTGGTATAATAAGGGTACCCCTATTTTTGGTATTTTGGGGTTCTTGAGCGCGTTTTTCTACCGAATGCGTTGAAATTTGGTATTTTGTAGTCGTATATGCTAACAAATCTCCCCACCAAAAATTATATGGAGTAGTTCCCATATAACCCAATTTTTATACCCTCCGCCATAGTATGGAGGGTATATTAATTTTGTCATTCCGTTTGCAACTAATCGAAATATTCCTTTCCGACCCCATAAATTATATATATTCTTGATTAGGGTAAAATTCTAAGATGATCGAGCCATGTTCGTCGGTCTGCCCGTTCGTCTGTTGTAATCACGCTATCTTCTGAAGGAATTGAGATAGGGTGCTGAAATATTATTATATATTAAAATAGTTATCTAATTTGTTCCGCGTTTTGGGTTTGGTTCTAAGACATTTCACCTGCGGAGGATATCGAGATAAAAAACCAGAACGTAAGGTTCGATAATGAACTATATATGAAAAATAAACCACATTTAGGCCAGCCCCTCTGTGGAAAGTACCAGATGGAGTGGACCGATATTCCCCATCTTCGAACTTGAACTAAGTTTGGAAGAAATAATAAGATGGCAAAGTTTGGATGAAATCAAAATTTTCTGAAACAAATTTTGTCCAAAGAAACATGGGGTCTAGAACCAATATTTCGATGAGGCTCATTTTCACCGTGCCAAAGTGTAAACAACCTCATTAGCCATATGACTGAGAGTATAATTATCCATTAAAAAATTCTGAAATTTCTATCATGGTTTACGTAATCGGTTTGTAGAAATGTCGATGTGAGGCCGCTTTTTGGTATTTTCCCTATATTTTTATTTCAAGTACCTGTCAGTATATCTATGTTGGAGGGTGAACAAAGATCGGCCCGGCCGAACTTAACGCTTTTTCACTTGTTAAACTTAAGTCAAGTTCGAAGATGAGACCCATCGTTCCACTCCTTCTGGTACCTCCCACACCTAATATTCCATTCCTTATGAACCTTATCTTGAAACTCCAAATTATCCAATTCCAATTTCAAATAATTTTGATTTTTTTATTTCAAAAAAAGTACACATTTCATATACGTGTCATATGAAATGTATACTTTTTTTGAAATAAAAAAATCAAAATTATTTGAAATTGGAATTGGATGTACATTTGAATACCAGCAATACGAAAAAGATATAACAAACATAAATGAGCTGTGCAATTTTTATAAACGCGTCGTCAGCGCCATCTATTGAGGGACATGATTCAAATCATGCAAATCAAGTTCATGAATGAATGCGTAACGATATAGAAATAATTCCAATGGATTACTAGTCTGTATACACGAACAACGATTGTTTAACAGATTTGCCATGTTGACAGACAATTCCAGCTTTCTGGGATTCTTCACAACTTTTTAACGCATAATTATACAGAGATAAATCAATGGGATAATTTAGCTCCTAATATCTTCTTTATTAACGGGTTTTATAAGGATTTACCGGAGATCCCATTGTAACAGAAAAATGAAACCCATTTCATCTAAAGATAATTTCAAATTAATTAATATGGAATTTTATAAATTTATTTAATTCACAATAATGGATACAATTATAATCGCGTCGTCTGCGCCATCTATTGATGGGAATGATTCAAATCAGACACATCAGTTTTATAAGCTTAGTCCACAAATCGTATAACTTTTGAACGGATAATCGGATATATATGAAAGCTTAAATAGTTCATTTTACTATGACCAACAAATAATTTGTATATCAACATTACCTAGAGAGAAATGAATGAAACATTTTGAATACTAAATTTCACACTCAAAAATGTAAAATATTAATATTTTTGTTGTGTCACCAGAAACTATAAAGTGTTACCTTTCATTTGACACCAATATCTGCAATAGGTCAATAAATATTACATGATCGGGTTAACAGAAAATCACCAGCAATTTAGATTCTTTTTAACTTTTGATTGAAGGATATAGAAATAATTTAAATGGATATGGATAGCCTCGATTATAAGTAAATAATACAGTATCCAAAAGTGTTTGCCAGGGTTGAAATATTTCCAGAAAATTATAGTTTTCTGAGACTACTCACAGATTTTGAATACGTAACACGATACAGGTTGAAAATCTGACCGGCTATATAACACCCTTCACCACTTTGTAGAATATATGTAATATATATATATATATATATCAATTTCAATTTCAATTTTTTTCAATTTTAGCACACGTCATTCTAGATTTAATTCATTACGCTATG